GCATCTCAAGTACAATTTTATGAAATAGTCCCTCATGATCTTAGCTCTGCTTCAGAGTACTGAAGGAGGCGGGCTAAGGAGTAGGGGAAGGGATAAGGACCACAGAGCTCAGCAAAGCTGGCTAGAAAGAGAGGCCAATCATAGAGCCCATGGCAAAGGGCAAGGACTGAGCAAGAAGCTGGCCTAATGGGATAGGTTTTGAGATATTATCGTTTCTAAGGTTTGTCACAAATACTCTGGAAAGAATTTTGGAAGGCCAAACAGGCTGAAGTTGTCCATCATTAATGACACTTGAGATGGCATAGGTCCGGCCCATTCAGCTCACTCTGGGGGCACAAGGCAAGAGGAGGCTGGCAGTGTGACCACTACCTCAGGGGACCACAGCAAGCAGGGACAGTTGGAAGAATGCCTGGCTGCAGTCCAAGATATGAGCTTGTTACCTGGGAACATTTTAAAGACCCCACTTCAGCCCCTACATGCCTGTGGTCATGCTGAGTGGAAGCAGCCAGGCCTGGCTCTCAAACGTCAGTATGGTCATAGATAACATCTTTCTGGGGAACAGGGAAGTGGAACGCTGAAAGACAAATCCAGACAGCTGTTCTGCCTTTGAGGTTCTCAGACCCTGCGTATTTAGGAGAATCTTTGGAAATGATAACATGTTCCATAGATCTATCTGGTCAGGCTTGCTCGTGGCTGGCCTCTTGCCCTATTCTGTAGCAGGTTCCCCTGAATTTTCTTGCAGCCTTCATCCACTGACTGCTGGCCTTCTTACTTTTCTAAAGGAGTATTTTTCATTTTAGTTTGTTTTCTGTGCTCATTTTCTCTATGTTCCTGTCTCCCTTTGGGGTGGTCAAAGGGAAGAAGGAAGAGGGCAGGAAAGGGGACAGCACCTGGCAGAAGTCCTAGATAGGGGCCATTGGCCCATCACCATGGGCCTCTGCCTTTGGCCAGCCTCACATGAGACATTCACATTCCAAACTGGCTGGTTGGTTTGTTTTCTTAAGAAAGCAATAACTGTCACATTCACTGCGGTTCTTATGGCTTCCCATATGTATAATCGTTCTTTCTCCCTTCAGTTTTCCAATGTTTTTCTTTCCCCCTTTCAAATAAATGCTCATAAATTTTACGGGTGAAAAGGACGAAAAAACATACCAAAAAAGAGTGGTTTGTTGGAAAAAAGAAGAAAGGAAAAAAAGCAGATGTAGAAAGACTTGAACTCCTGTTTTAAGCTTTTATATACTTGAAAAAACCAGGCCAGGGAACGCTTTAGGTCTTTTGAAATAGAGAAGATTCTTTGCTAATTTTTCTAAGACTTGCATGTCTAAGTCTTGAGTTTGGGGTGGATGTTCTGAGGCCCCAGCCATTACCTCTTTGAGCATGCTGAGACCTAATGGCGGCCCTTCAGTCCTGGTGGAAGCTGACACCATGCCAGCTCCTGACTTTGGTGGTCTCTCAGCCATGAGGATCACGTGGCCCTGTGTAAATCTCATGATACAGAAGTCCTAGTCTTTCTAACTTCAAAATGGAAGGGTTTGGCTAGAACATCTGGAAACTTCTATGGCTTTATGATTAACATGGCCAAGAAACTGATTCTGAGGCCCTTCCAATCCTCCTCTTAGAGCTGGCACAGACTCTATTAGCTGCTTTCCCAATATCCGTTCTTCCTCTCTCCTTATCAGCAGAATTCCACTTCTATTTGGGGCAACAATGTGGTCAGCTGTAGAGTAATTTCCCAGCTTCCCTTGTAGCTGGGTGGGATCACATGACACCAGTCCAACCATTAAGATATAAATTTAAAACCAGAGACCAACCAGCTCAGCCAGCTTATGGTTTTACCCTTTGAAATTCCTGCTTGGAATTCAGTCCTATGTTGGAGGTAAAAAACAGATGTCAAGATGCTGTCATGTCCCCATAAAAATGTTTCATTCAACTACTATCAGCAGTGGTCCCACAAGATTATAACGACAGCTTCCTGTCACCTAATGGCATTGTAGTCTTTGGAGCACAACACAACACTCACGTAGTTGTGGGACACTGTCATAAACAAACCTGTAATGCCAGTTTTATAAAAATATTGTACAGGGGCTGGAGAGATGGCTCAGTAGTTAAGAACAGTTGGTATTCTTCTAAAGACCAGGGTTCAATTCCTAGCGCCCACATGATGGCTAACAACCAACATTGACTCCAGTTCCAGGGAATCTGACACCCTGTTCTGGCCTCTGAAGGGCATTACACGCACGTGGTGCACTTACATACATATACATGCAGGAAAAATGTTCATACACATAAATATATATATGTATATATATTGGTCTTTTTTGTTATTCTGTCTTTTTTTTCAGAGCTGAGGACAGAACCCAGGGCCTTGTGCTTGCTAGGCAAGCACTCTACCACTGAGCTAAATCCCCAACCCCCCCCCAAAATATTTTTTTTAAAAATATAGTACATTCAATTTTATATATACTTGAAAGGAAATTACTGTTACTGGTTTCTAAATTTGCAGTCCTATACTTTTGCTGTCATTTAGAATGTACTCCTATTTAACTTTTTTTTTTTTTTTTTTTTTTTTGAGACAGGATCTCCCTGTATCCCCAGCTGGCCTGGAACTTGCTATGTAAACTAGGCTGGCCTTGAACTCACAGAGATCCACCTGCCTCTACCTCCCTAGTGCCAGGACTAAAGTTGTGCGCTACCATACCTGCTCCTATTTAACTTTTTAAAAAGTATACCGTAAAACTCTGTGACATACCACTCCAGAGACGTCTCTTACATCTTGTTTTGTTGGTGGTTTCTAGCAGTGCTGGGGCCTTTCACATGCCAGATAATGACTGCCACTGAGCAATATCACCATCCCATCGCCTTGTGTTTCTCACATCTCTTGATGGGATCACTTTCTCTTGTGCTTATTTTCCTCTCAGCCTATTTTCTTCTTCATGGTCCTAGGACCCATATGCTAGACCATATGCATGTGCCATGCAGGCTAGGTGTGCAGTGGAATAATCCAGCTGCTTGTGTAACTACACTTTAAAATGTCTGTTCAGTGATGAAATCACTAATGGCACATTTCTTAGGACACATCTCCACTGTTATGGTATGTGTATCTGTGTAGCTGAATGAAAACAAGTCAGAAGGGTCTAGGTCCCGAGTTCATCAAGAAATTACTGAGGGGCTGGAAAGATGGCTCAGAGGTTAAGAGCACTGGCTGTTCTTGCAGAGAACCTGAGTTCAATTCCCAGCACCCACATGGCAGCTAACAACTATCTGTAACTCCAATTCCAGGGGAGTCTAACATCCTCTTCTGACATCCGTGGGCATTACACGACACAAGTGCACTTACAGACATGCATGTAATACGCTCATACACAAAAAATAAAAATAATAAATATTTTTAAAAGAGAGAGAGAAGTCACTGAGACAGCCCTGGACTGCCCTTGTCAGATCAAATCCCATCTGTTCAGGCCACAGTGAGGTGAGTCTCATATCCAGCAACACTAATGTGAGGCTGAGGAGGAGAGACAGTCCAGAGACCAGGTGAGAGGAACAAGAAAACAAAATTAGTTACTAATGATCATTGCTCCACAGGAGATAAGTAAGCTCTTGGAAAGGAGATGAGAGGGAGAAATCTATACCCAGTGAAGAATCCCAGGACTAGGATTTGTGAGGACATATATTGAAGGGAAGACTGGGAGAAAGAACATTCCAGAGAGGAGCAGCAGCATATGCTAAGGTCTGCAGCTGGGAGGCAACTTGGGTTTAGGAGGAACTGGGAGAACTAGTGCGGTTGGAGCTGGTGAGCGAGGATTGGGAGGGAGGGACAGTAAGAAGGTAAGGAAAAGTAGGCAGGGCTCACCGGCCACGCAGGGAGCAGTATGGGTAGGATTTTAAGTCACTGGAGATTTTTTTTTTTTTTTGAGAATGGTGACTTTAAGACCTCCTTCTAGAAAGCTGTTTCATGTTCAGTGTTTGTGGGTCTGTTCCTTGCACAGAGGTCTTGCCAACATGGCTGTGAAAATAGGCTCCTAGCAACTTGTTCTGGGTGGATTGAGGGAGGAACTATGGGCCAGAGTTCTAGTCCCACTCTGCCTCACAGTAGTGTGTGCCCTTTGGCTGTTGTTGTCTCTGTCTGAGCCTCCTCATAAAAAATAAGGACAGTAATAGTTCCTAGGGCAGCTGAGAGGAAGCAATGTGTTGAATCCCATAATGAACTGGGAACCTCAATACTCCTACCTCTAAGACAGTGCTACTCCAATTTGGCATGAGTCACCTGTCCTGTCCCCAAATTCTGGTTCATTCTGGGAATGAAATGCTAACATCTTCATAATAAACAAATCTGTAGACTTGCTACAGGTGGTCCATTTAGACAAACTCATTCAGTTTTGGAATTCTACAAACCCACGTTCAAGTCTCCTTCAACTTTCTGTGTGGCCTTGAATAGCTTTTTGAAATTCTCCAAACTTCAGGCTTTGAGAGTTCATAGCTTCACCTCACTTCCAGTTCACTCTCTATACTTCGTGTTTGTGGTCGAAGATGAGCTCTCTCAGCCTTCTGCTCCAGCCCCTGCTGCCGTGCCTTCCCCACCATTATGGACTGGAACCACTCACCAAAACATACTCTTTTTTCTATATTAAAAAATATTCTCCAAACTTGCTTTCCTTATCTGAAAAATGAGCTTTCTGAGTCAGATGTGATATGGCTCACACCTATAATTCCAACATTCAAGAGGCTGAGACAGAAAGACAGCCGCAAGTTCAAGGCCAGCCAGAACGACACAGTGAGTTCCATCCAGCCCAGCTTGAAGTAGAGTGTTAGACCTTGTCTCAACTTTTTTTTTAATTTAAAAATGAGCTTATTAATACCAGTAATGTACCCTCCCATGAGGATGAAATAAAATATTTGTATAGAAGGCATAAAAATTATAACCACAGGCTCCAGTGTCCAAAAAAGTATAACACATTTTTTATTTATCTACAGCTTATATTAACTTAGCCCATGACCTTGTATTTCCACTAACAGAAAACTTCAGGTTGGAAATTCCAGCTCACTTAAACCACTTCCAGCTTAAAAACAAAACAAAAAAATACCACCTCAGTCTCTTGTGGAAAATTTGAACCAGAACCAAGTTTCTGTCCCCTCCATTCCTAGCTCTTCCTCTGCAAATGATCCAGGTTCTTTAGGGGTTAAATACCCCAATTTCTTTGGGGTTTCCACAACTGGTCCTGGGCCTTTGCCTGTCCATTGCCCAATATGCCATCACGTTACTGGGTGTAAGCCCTTGGTCTTGGTATTGTCTCTTCATCTCCCAACTCTACACACATGCATGTACGCACACACACACACACACACACACACACACACACACACACTTTCAATAGCTGTACCACCGTGGTATACCCAGGTCATATGACTGTATAATCCCCTCCCTCAGCCACTTTGTAGTTTACTGCTGAGGCTCCATATCAGATATGGGCCTTGTCTGGGTTCGATCACCTCCTTCCACAGAGTTCACAGGCTATATGGAAAGAGGGGTCTTCTTTCTGTCTTCTTCTGTCTCTCCAGGCCTCTCAGGACTGGCTCATGGGCATCTAGAATTCTTTACACAACAACACACACAACCTGAGTCTTACAAATGAAAGTCTTGCTCTCAGACTAGTGTTTCTGCCTCAGACTTAGATGAACACATCAGCTGTTCAGTCAGCTTCCTGCTTCTAAGGCATGTCTGAGGCCAGAATAGAAGACCTACAGTCTGTTTCCCAGTGGTAGGGGAAGGCAAAAGACAGAAACACTAGTCAAGGTGCTCACTCAAATGATCTCAGTAGACCCATATCTGAATGTGGGCAAGTCCTTGGCTTGTGAGCATCAGGCAATTACTCTGGGTCCCTGCTTGTGTTGAGTGGGTGGCTCTGCTTCCTCCCAAGTCTAGAGGCAGATGGAGTGAGAGGACCTACTTTTCCTTCAAGGGGCCAGAGGTGTCATCATTGGAGATTCTGATGTTTAGATCATGATCCCTTCCTGGATGATGCTAAAATGTCAGTTCTGTGTCATTTAGTTTGCTCCCGGGGATGAGGAGCAGAGAGAGAATGACACAGCTAGGCCCTTTTTTCTCTGGAAGGCAGCAGTGCAGAGGGAAGAGGTCTCCCCAGGCATGTCAAGCTGCCCTAGGGGATCCTGGGAAGCCTCTGTCCCTACCTCGACACTGAGCTCAAAGAGGTGGTAGCCAACACTAGAGGCAGTGAAGCCTGTTCAAACGTGCATCTATTTCCTAGGGGCCTAACAAGGGTGTGGGGATGGGATGCTTAACTTGGGACTCAGGAGGAGTCCCAGGCCTTGGGGAAGGGGGTGAACCCCAACTGCTCTGGCCTGAGTATCAGGGTTAATAGGGGTGATTCAGGGCATGTTTCATGATGGTCTGTATCGCCATCCAGGTCTCCTCGGCCGTGGGAATGATCTGTGCGGCTGGCAGCAGGAAGCCATAGTGTCCAGTGTCCCGGAGCTCGAAACTGAAGGCATACTTGATACCATTGTCATAGGCCCAGTCCACCATGATCCCACTGGCTGTATCTAAAAGCAAAAGGGCCAGAATGTGCCCAGAAAGGAAGAAGAGAGTGCAGTCACAGGATACAGAAGAATCCTGAGTAAAAAGTGGGCCCTGGAGCCCACTGGCCCTGATCATACCAAGCTTCCTGGTCCAGGCCTCATCCTGGGCTCTACCCTACCTACTCCAACCCATTTCTCCCCCTGCAAAAATAGGCCACCAGACTGTTCCCCTTGAGGAACCTGGCAATTAAACAAGGCATCAGGATCTGTACATTGATGCTACCAAGAAACAGTGACCTGGGTACCACCATTCACCCAGCCCAGCTAGATCTGTAGTGCAGCCCTGTGGCTGGCCAGGCCTGCCAAGCAACTCAAACTGCACTTGCCCAACCCCAGGTCGATACGACTCACTCACAGAGGGTGGTACTGATGCTGCCGAAAATGTACTTGATCCCATGCACCTTGTACAGGGCATTCACTGCATCCTTGGCAAGACTGTACTGCAAAAGATAGCCATAGAGTAAGAGGAGGGGTTTCCCTGACCCCCGCATGCTTAGCAGCTAGTGAGAAATATGGGCTTGGAAGTCATGGACATTGATCACGTAGACAGCTCTTGTGAGCGGGGATCACAACACCTTCAGCTTTGAACTCGATCACACATAAGAACAATAGTATTGATTCTCCCTACCATTGGTCCAGATGCTCATTTGGGGAGTAACCACCTGGGAATGTACCAGATGTGGGTTTTCCTGGAGAGGGGCCTTCTCTCCCATACCCTTAGCCAGTCTTACCAGTTCATCATGGTTTGGCACAGGCTCCAGAGAGTAACCATAAGGAAACATGATCATCTGAGAGTAGCTATGGATGGAGATCAGAGCCTTGAAGTTCCCATGGCCTGAGATGAAGTTCACAATGGCAAGTACCTCTGGCTCTGACTGAGGTGAGGGCCCTTGATATGTGTCTGAGCAGGGGTTTTTGTTAGAACCATTTCCTGAAAGTAAAATAAAACCACTGAAAGGGTCAGAGTTCCCAGGTATGGCAAAGACAGCGCTCACAAAATACACTTATGTACTCTAAATGTCCTGCAACCTTCTTTTGTAAGTTGGTCATGTGACTGCTTCTGGCCAATGATAACGTGAACAGTAATGATGTGTCTCTTCTGGTTTTTCTGCCTGGGGCTAGAAGCAAAAGCGTCTAGGAAGAAACAGCATCCTGGGTCCTTTTGTGACCACTGGCAGTCAATGAGAGTCCGCTGCCCACATGTGACACTGTGTTAAGCAGTATTTGCTACTGCTGCATACCTTGATCTCATACATTGGAAGAATGTAGCCACGTCATGACTCAGCACCTGAGTAATCTTGCACAGGACCCCCATGGCTCATCCTTTGGGTTAAGTCCTGACCTCCAATGAAGAAGTGGGCTTGCCTGGGAAAATGTATCCAGAGGAAACCCTAGCCCTCTGCCCTTATCCCATCTTCCCCTATGAGCAGCAACCCTTTGATTGGCTGTTCTTCGGTTCATTCCTAGTCAGGTGCTGAGACTGTGTCTGCTCAAACTTTGCCTCTAGCTATGGCCCTAGGAGCACCATAGACTTGGGGGCCAAGAAAAGACAAAATCGATTCCCACAGTTGCTTGAAGCTAAGAATCACAGCAGCAAGAGGCCTTTGAGAATTCTTGGGGACCTACTTGAGGGAGAGGGCAAAGATGAGTTGTATGTTTTCATTGTGTTGTGTTGTGTTGTACTACTGGGATTGAACCTATGACCTCATGCATGCAAAACCAAGTACTTTATCACTAAGCTGTATCCCCCCAGCCCTGTGCTTCCGTTTTTCCACAAGTTGAGTTTGTTCCCAGTTCCTCCTCCTAAATTCTTAGCTCCTTCACCTCCCTCTTTCTTCTTCCACTCCTTAGGTATTGTCCTTCCCTCCCCAAGGGCCATGTCCTGGAGTGCTAGACAGAGCTGGTGAAGACCTGTGGGCTAGTAACACACGGGGAAGGAGACTTTTCTGTTCCTCTTCTCCCTCTTCCAGAAATAACTGCACCCAAGCCCTATTCAGAGGCCAGGGATCTCCTCCAATTTAAAATATATTTTTTAATCAGTTCTTTGAGAATTTCATGCAATGTATTTTGATCATATTCACTCCAACACCTCCCTTAACTCTTCCCACTTCCATACCCCTCCCCAACTTCATGTCCTTTTTTTTTTTTTTTTTTTTTTTTCTAATTTAATAACCCATGCTTCATGAGGATTCCAGAGCACCCCTCTTGTCCCCAGGGCCAGCAGACTGCTCTTCCCTAGAATGCAGGTGAGTGAGGCATGAGGGTTGGTCTCCATACAACTCATGGCACAGCAATTAGTTAAGGCAATAATAAAATCATAAACAAGATCTTCCTGCCTGAGTCACCAACCCAGACACTATTTCTGGCTACAGGCAGCCCAGAGGCCATTCTGTCAGCAGGGAGAACATCCCCTTTTATTTGGGTGGTCCTTGCCTGAGGTAGGGGACCCTAGTTAGAAGGGGACATGCCTGCAGGGGGGGGGCAGCATCCCCCAACCAAGGCTGGTGCAGAATGGGCTGACAGTGGTCCTGTTTGTTGTGTCTGCCTAGAGTTTCCGCACCTGCTCCACTACATGAATGACAAATAGCAACAGATGAGCTGAGCAAGGGAGGCTGAAAGCTTTGTCTGTGTTTGCAGCCCACGCAGGGAGAGCGGTTCCCCTGCCAACAGCCAGGTGGCTTTGCCCAAATATGGAGAAATACTTCAGGCCATTAGTTCTGGTTTGAGCTAAGCAGAATAAACTAATCTTCCCCTGACCAAATGGGAATTCGCTGCCTGCCTCTCTGACGTTCACAGTCAAGGTCCTCTGAGCCTGCCTGTTTCACAAGTACCTGCTAATGGATTCATTAGCTATTTATTTTTCCTTCTCTAAAAATGTAATTTGTAGCAAGGGGAAATCTCTGAAAGGACAAGGTAAATTATTAAAGCACTAATCTTTGGGTAGTGGGATTATGGGAGCTTTTCCGCCCCTTTAGGCTTTTTTCTCCCCGTAATTGTTTTTTTACATTGTATATACACAGATTTTTATTTTTTTATTTTTTGCCTGCAGAGAAACCCACAAAAGTTATTTTCTCTAAGAGGAAATGTCTTCCTCTGAGCTGGGCTATCTCAGCATCTGTGGGTACTGGTCAGGTCTGAGAGGCCCCCATAGATTGCCCACCCAGGGCAATTCTAGCCATTTTGGAAGCAAACATGCCTGATTTTACAGTCATGATTCCTTGCCCCGCAATGCCTCAGGCAACCCTCATCATGTGACCTGGGGCTTTATTCCCCACACTTTAGAAATATCCTTACTTTTCATTGTGAACAAACTATAAAAACCAGATTTTCAGAGCCACGGACACCCAGATCTAGAATGTTCTATTATTGGTTTGCCCATCAGCTTACGTTAAGAGTAGTGGTACTCTCCCTTGGGGAGCCAACCCTTGTCCCCACTGTGGAATGTGGACACTACATCTGAGGCTGAGGGCTGTAGAATTCTGGAGACTCTTGTGCTGGCTGGTCCCAGTGTCCCACCCATCAAAATGCTGCTTTACTGGGGTCCAGATACTCTCTCCAGACATTCTAGAAGACTTATTTTCTCCATCTAGTCTCTGTGTCCCTGGTGTGTGTGAGAGAAAGGCAGTCAGGCAAAATCACCACACAAGTCAAGGGAAAGCTTCCAAGCCAGCCGTGGGAATGGTACAGCTCTGCAAGAATGAATGAGCCTACCACTCTGCTAGCCCACCAGCCCCTCAGCCCAGCGATGCAAAGTAAAGGGTCAGGAATAAAGACCAGGTGCCAGTCTGCTATGATGATAAGCAATGGCTCATATTATATGTAAGCTATCACTCTGACCTCCCCAGAGGATGAGTTCCAAATCTAAGCTCTCAGGAAATACGTTCAGGGCATTCCTTGTAGTATGTTCCTTCTGAAAAAGGACTGGGGACATGTTGGGGGCACCATGAACTCTGGATGTTGAACAACTGACAAGTCCTTTACACCTCCTTGAGCCTCTCTCTGCCGTGTAAGATTTGATACATGCAATGTATCTTCATTTTAGGAGCCCATTTAAGGTTCCCATAAATGTCCCCCATGAAGACTTGGCATGTGGATCCACTTGGCGTTGGTTCAACCTCTCCCACATCACACAGCTAATCCTAGGTATGTGCTCACCTGACGGCACACATATATTAGCCAATGATGCTGTCTTTGCCTCCCAACTTGTAAGTCAACACACTATGATGGTATGGGAGAACCTGCCAAGGACCAACAACTCCTTCTCCAGCCCTGCCCCTGGGGCCCAGCAGATTGTCATACCTCCAAAGCCTGACTTCCAGTTCCTGTTGAGGTCCACGCCAATGCAGAAGATGCCAGGTCTGCTTGACTTGTTCTTTCTCCACAAGCGATTCTGAGAAATCCCAGGTCAGGTGGCCTCATTCTCTGGACTTATTCCCAGGGACAGGATAGTTGACATACTAGCCCATGAGGGGGTGGGGGATGGGTCTGGTGGGGCATGGAAGAGCAAAGGGAAGGGACCTCAAAGGCAGAATGAGGTGGCGTGGGGCTGGGTCAGAACTGCATGCAGATCAGATCTGCTGTGGTTGAAGTCTGGGCTTGAGGAGATGTCTAAGCCCAAGCTGTCGGTGGCAGCTTTGTGGGCAATGGACAGGTTGGTGGGCAAGAGGCCATAGCTGTAATACCCCAAAAGCCCTCCTCCCACCAGCCAGCCTTTCTTCAGGAAGCCAGCTCTAGAAGACACTGTGACATCTCCCCCAACACATACACCAGATAACACCTTCTGGAGTTCTCCAGGTGCCCTCACCATGCTGTGAGTAAAAGCAAAGCCATCGGGGTTGGTGACGATCTCTAGGAAAATGTCCATGGCTTTCAGTATTTTTGTCAGGGCATGGTCTTTGCCATATTCACTCACAATCTGCAAGAGAAGGTAACGTAGGAAGCCCTTGCCAGGCTCTCTTCAGAGGTGCAGCAGCACGTGTACCCAGTGGTAGATACAGGAAGAGACAGCACTGGGTCAACAGGCACATTCCCTGCAGAGCTAAAAGCTTGGGTTTTAAACAACTGTAAAGCAGAGGATAGCCTGGGCTCCCTGCTGCCCAAGGCCAGACCACCTGGTAGCTCTGGGCAGGAAGGGAGAAAGAACCCTGAATTTAAAAGAACTGTGTCTACTTTTTCAACTATAGGTGCCCTTAAATACCCAAGCAGTGTCCCCCCCCCCCCCAGTTCTAGCCCCCTCCTGGCCGTGTCCCTCAGCTGCCAATCCCTGCTGACCTTCTTGGCTAACCAGATGCCGGTGGCATGGGTGATCCACTCCCGGGAATGAATCCCAGTGTCAATCCAGATGGCTGAGCGATTTGAACCTCCAGTGCTGAACTGGTAAAAAGAATCAGGTCCCAAATAGAAATATGACCAAGACAGCCATGGTGCTGTCCCCGGCCTCCCTGGAAGGAGGACCTAAGGTGCACCCCTGCTGCCTGGGATGAATCCACATGCCAGATACACTTAGCCTGAGAGAAGGGGGCTTGCTGGTCCATGCATGCTCCCTATGAAGGGCACACACATACCTATGAAGTACACATGCCCATAGTCTACACACATGCTGCTGTCTTTGGCCTTGCACTGGTATTCTTGGAAGGCAAAGCTACCCAACCCCAAACACAGAATTTCCTGGGATTGAGATATTTTAAGACGTGCTCCTCAAGTTTTAATGGGCATGCATGTCTCCTGGAGAGCTTAATGTGCAGGTTCAGATTCAGGAAGATTCTAGGGAGAAGTCTGGCATTTGCAACACACGTGAGGGGACTGTGGTCCAAAGCCACACTTTGAATAGCTAGGCCCTAGGTAACACTAAAAAGAGACTACCACAGCACCTGGTGGGAGATGGAAGCAAAAGCAGGTAAAGTCAAGGCCAAGTTAGGTAAGGCCACATATCTGTTCAAAAGCCCTGTGACAGCCACAGTGCCCATCCTTCCTGATAGTGGATGTCAAGTACCCTATATGGTCCATGCTCTGGGCACATGCTATGGATTCTTTTCCACGGTGTTATGACCAAGGGCATTGCAGTGACGTTTGTTCAAGTTCAGTTCCAATAGTCCATATTGAAGGGCCAGGAGGTTTCCCCAGAGCCTCGGCCTATAACCCTTTGGGTTGCCCAAACCAGATGACCTCAGTCATTGTCAAATGAACCTGCTATGCACCGCTTTTCTCACTTAACAGATGAAGCAAACCGGGCCACAGGAAAGACACTAACTCACCACACTCACCCACATCCAAGGTGACAACTGCCTCCCTGCAGCCCTAACTCTTTAGCAACCCTCCCATTACTTCCTGCCCAGGTCACTGCACTGCCACCTGTCCATACCTACAAGGGTGAGTCCTTGAATGACACACTCATGGGTCACCTGAGTACCACAGTATACAAATCTTTCCCATTCCTAAAACTCTTACCCAGTCACTACCTCCATGGGCTCCATTTTACGCTAGAGGTGCGCACTCTGGTCTACTGGCTGCCACAGTGAACTCTTACCTTCAGGACAATAATGGACCGATTTTCAAAGCTGCTACCAATGTGAATTTTGGAGACGGTATTAGAATTTTCAGTTACCAAGTTGTCAATCCAGCTATAAATCTGAAGGCAATGAGGTCTATCAGACTGGCAGTTAAATGAGGAGGGGGTGAACCCCAAGCATGTCAATGAATATTCTTCTTCCCCCATCTTGCCTTCTTTATTGCTTTCCCACTTCCCCTGAGAGTCTGAAAGAGCACAGATCAAGAATTGTAAACCCTATAAAGAAACACTCAAAGCTGAAGAGGGGTGAGTGGAGGCCTGGCTTGGGTGCCAGGCACCTCATGACTATTTAGAGTTACCCATCTATCTGAGAGCACATGAGCTGCCCATGGTACTACATGCCTATAATCCCAGCCCTTGGGAGGCTGAGGCAGGAGGATCAGGAATTTAAGAACTGCCTGGGCTACAGAGTAAGTTTAAGGCCAGCCTAGGCTACATAGGAAGACCCTGTCTAAAAAGGATATTAAATAAGTAAATCCCCAGGCATGGCCTGCATGGATCTCGGTTGGAAATCTGACAACTTGCTTTATTGTTTGGTCTTTTCTAACCATTTTATAGATCACATAAACCTCAGAGGGTTTTTATTTTATAGCTTTCCACTCCTTTTAGACTCTCAGCCTCTTGAAGGGATGGGTGGTATTTAACTTATCTTGGCATCAATAACAAGGATGGACTATATTAACTCACATTCTTGTCCTTTTAATATGTATCAGTGAATAAACATTAGAGAGAAAATGGATCCTCTTTTACAGGTCTTGCAAAATGAAAGGCATGATAGCAAAGTCAATAATGCCACGTTCTGTGCAGACAAATGAGAGCTGTGCCTTTGGTGGACACCCTGTACCTGCCTTGTATAGTCTCCCTTCCAAGCAGTGACCACTGCTCATATGTTCCCTAGCTGGATAGCACTATGATCATACATTTTCCTCGAAGTAAAGGTAACTGTTTGATTGTACAAATAGCTCTCCAGTGTGCCTGGCTTGCAGTGTCCCTAATACCTTCAAGTACTTATAGCAGAGGTCACAGAGCACCAAGACGAGTCACAAAGAGGTCAAGGGATCACTACTCAGGGAGTTTGGGATAAGAAGGCCTACTCTGTTCCAGCCTGTAATGGGTCCCCACCTTAGTGTGTCAGCCAGAGACCATTTACTTAGTTCTGAACTTGCCTAGATATACTGCTGAGCTACTGTCCCCTCTATCTGAATCTGGACTTCTGAAACTCTTTAGGCTGCCTGCTACTGAGCATCCCTTCATCTAATGTCTCCTCTACATTCCCCAAGTTTACAGTCTCCTAGAGTCCCAGCATCCTTCGCTGGTCTCTGCGTGATCCTAGAGCTCCCAAGGGACTCAGACGCACAAGTTAGCCTGGAGCTTGCCCAGATAGACCCACCTCCTCCAGAGTGTGGTAGGAAGAATAGCTGAAGCTATTGGTGCTGCGTTCTAGCCTTCGGGATTTCGCCATGGCTTCTCTTTCCTCATCCAGCAGCACCTAGTAGATGGGAAGACACATCAGAAGGGCAGAAGAGGGCTGGGCCAGCAGCACTGACACAGGGAAATGAACAGAAAATGTAGTTGACGGGTGACTTGCCAGCACACTACCACCCATTCTGCCATTTACCAAATGAGCACAGGACAAGTCATCTGGAGAGACAGGTTCCAAATCTGTCTTTGCTCTCGACTTACTGTGGAACTTGTAGCTTTTGTTTCCTCAGCTTAAGAACTGGGACAAAGCCAGGCACAGTGGTACATGCCTTTAATCCCAGCACTTGGGAGGCAGAGGCAGGCAGATCTCTGAGATGGAGGCCTGGTCTTCATAGCAAGTTCTAGGCAGTTGGGGTTACAGGGAGACCCTGTCTCAAAATAAAGAACCAGGACAGTATCTAGTATGCTACTCCATAGAATAAAATGTAATGATGGATATGAAGGTATCTTGAGAAAGATGCTCACAGTCTGCTACCAACATTGCTGTTATGCTTTATAAATGCTCAGTTGACTGGGGACCCAAACTGAACCATGGGCATTGACACTCTAGGGGAGAAGATGGCTGCTCTGACTTCTGGCATCAACTGGTATCCAAGACATTCCAAAAGTCAAGCATGACCAAAGCCGGCTCAAATCATAATTAATGCGTCAATATTCTGTCTCATCATGTTAACTACCCAACAGACACAGAACAAGTGAACCAAAAGCAATGCTCTTGACTGTGTGTTTTTGGCACTCAACTTTCATGTGGCACTTGCCACTGACCATGGGAAGGGCAATCAAGTGCCTGGGTTGAGTTGACTGCTCAGACCACCCAAACCACTAATGGGATACTTTTCCCAGCTTAAATCAGAATGAAATGGAAGGTCCTAGCTTAAGGTGCCCCAGGACTCAGCACTAGCTGTTCAGTGTGGAACATGCCTGGGCCCTTCTGCCATGGAGGATGCTAACCAACATCCTCATTAAGCCAAAGGGACCTCTCATTCATTGCAGCTCGGTCACAAGTCTGGATGCTGCCTTATTTGGCACCAGTGCCTTCTGGTTTATGAAGTATCTTTATCCTCATGCTCTCACTTGAGCTGGTCAGGTGACCAGATGCCAGGGCAGGAATTAACTTGTGGTGTTTTAGAGATAAGGCAGATTGGAGAGGTGACAGTACTTTTAATGCAAAGTTAACAAGTGGCAGAGATGAGATAATAACCAGATCTTATAGTTCCCAGCACTGGGTTCCTTAAGCTTAGCTATCAAAACTGAAGACTAACAATAACATATACACACACCTATGCATATTTGTGTGTATATATATAAATATAAAGAGAAGAAACACAAATAAGCAAAATGTTAACAGCTGACAACTCCGTCATATTAGTCTTGCAATTAAAGTTTGTTTTTTTTAAAGTAATGAGAAAAAATCAAGTATCCTCAAGAACAGAAAAACAAGACATGAAATGACAAAAATAAAACGAAACAAATGCTGTGGGACCTGCTAGAATAGGAAGATTAGAATTTTGGACATTTTTTTTCTTTTTCTATTTTTCACTTTATGGCAACGTGTTTGTATGACTTCAATGAGTAAGGACTCTTAAGGGAATAAATAAGACCAAAACCAAACCCTTCAAGGCTAATTCAAAGTCTTCAGTCCCAGGGCTGGGAGCCCCTGCTACACCCAAGGCCACTTGGGCGATTCACTTCCCTGAGGGCCTTGTCCACTTGCTCAGGACTCTCAATTCTCAATAGATTTGAAAATGGGCCTGGAAATCAATGCCTGGGACTCCTATCATTTCATGCCTCAGCACTAAGTACATGCTAGGTAATTAAAATTGCTACGTTTTCCCCAGTCAGACTGGAGAAGATCAAGATAACAAATGATACCAAATGCTGGCTAGGATGTAGAGAAAGGGGAACGCTCATTCACTGCTGGTGGGATTGCAAACTCATGCAACCCCTATGGAAAGCAGTGTGGAGTACTCTTAAAAAACAAAAAATGAACCTACCATATGACACAGTTATACCACTCCTTGGCATATACCCAGGAGACTCATCCTATTGCAGAGCGACCTGTACAACCATGTTTGTTGCTGTTCTTTTCACAATAGCTAAGAGATGGAAACAACCTAAGTGCCCCTCAATTCAGGTATGGTACTATAAACCTAGCCAAATGTACATAGCTGGAGAGGTCATAGATCTTAAAGAAAAACCTCAAGGCTGTCACATCCCTAGACAAATGTAATTTCTTACTATGTGCAAAATATGGAGACTTAAATTTACAGAATGTGGGTCCTTGGACAGGTCTCCTATATTAAAATCCACCAACCCAGGGCTCAGGGACCGTTGCAGAAGAGGGGGAGGAAAATTGTAAGAAGCAGGGAGGAGGTGCATGACCATATGCAAATAGATTCCTACAGAGTCCTGGGATTCTTCTCATACAAACCTACAGCAGTAATATTAGCATGCACAAGACCCATGCAAACTCAAGCAGACAAAAACCCAGGACAGAACTGTGGAAATGGACAGCAGGTCCCAATCTTAGTAGAATTATTGGCCTCTACTACTGCTGGGTGAGAAAGAGCTGACATTCTTAAAGGGAAGGGCACTAGACAGGCTCATTAGACCTTAGTAGATGAACTTGCACTGAGGGACAACTAGAGACACTAACTTGACATGATAGGCCTGAACACGAATGACAGAATGAATTCCACTGGGGGGGGGGCTATAGGAGGGGGTCCATGGGGAAGAGGGTATAAAAATGACTAAGATGTTCTGTATGAAATACAGAAAAATAAATAAATAAATAAATAAACAAATAAAATAATTTGCCATGTTTTCTAGCTAGGCTGGCCAAGGGGAGCTTCCCATTTGGGCAAATCTGGGTTAGGTCAGACATGACTGGATGGGGCTCATTTTCACTAGCCCCTCACAAGCACCACCCTAGGGAGCTCTGACAAAAAGAATTCATCTTATTCCCAGGAAATCCACTCAAATCTCAGCAGCCCACTGTGACCAATGTGTGTCCATCACTGACGGCTGGTGCAGCCAGCTGTAGTGAGCAGCTGTGAGCAACAACTGGGCCCGTGGGAAGACCTGCTCCTGCTTTAGCCCCACCAGAAAGAAGTTACAGATCTCTAATGTCTCAGGGTGCGTGAGGGTCTGAGTTGGGGATGGAAGTCAAGGAAGAGAAATTAGAAAGAAGGACTGGAGGACCCAGCCCTTCTATCATGGCCAGGGACGCTCAGAGGAAATAGCTTTGAGGAGTCCAACCTTTGTTTCACAAATCAGCTTGGAGGCAAATAAAAGGTTGGCACCAAACTGCAAACAACTTCCCAAGCATCTTCCCAGCTCTAAGAATGGGTAGGCCACCCTCCTATGAGTTGGGAATGCTCAGCCCTCACAGCTGGACCCCAATTTCAGGAACATTAACCTACCCTGGTCTGAAAACTGCACAGATGTTTGCTGCCTTCCCAGGGCTGCAGGAAGAGGAAGAAGAAAAGAGAGTAGAGAATGGGCCTTGCTGTGGGTTCAGGATGCCTAATTACAGCCCTGTTAGACCCCTCAGGAAAAGAAATAATTAGATCAAGAAACTCTGAAGTAAGCCATTTGCCTCCCTGAAAGCCATACCTTGACAAGGATAGGAGGACCTTGGTGTGAATTCATTTATGACAGGGGTAAGGAAGGGTGGGGCCTTAAGGAGAAAAAACACCCCTATACCCCCAGAGTGAGGAAATGAGGAGCCCCAGGACTCCCCTTGCACTCTGGCTCCAACCACAGACCTCCATAAACATGGCTCAGGGGAAGATGATGGGAAACTCTGTGTTGGCAGCAGGACTTCTGGCATAGCCCTGGCTTTCTTTCCAGGCCTGGTGTTCCCTGTGTAAGCACCATACACGACATGAGGCTACAGATGTGATATGGAGCCCCTCGGGGTCAAGGTTGAGCCCTCTGGCTTCACTGCCCAAGGGCGAAGTTAAAACATCACATCAGCAGTCATTTTGACTGCTGCGGGCGGAGGTAAGAGGATTGAGGACACAGTCTTGTCTTGGTTGAGACACTGATACTGTCACTGACTCTGGTAAATTACTAATCTTCCTCTGCCTCAGTTTCCTGTCCTACAATGAGGGTTTTTTTGTTTTTTTGTTTTTTGTCTTTTTGAGACAGGAACTCCCTGTAGTCCCAGCTGGCCTGGAACTCACTATGTAAACCTGGCTGGCCTTGAACTCACAGAGATCCATCTACCTCTGCCTCCCTAGCACTGAGTTCAAAGGTGTGGGCCACCAAACCCATTGAGGGTCATCTTATCATTCACTTTAGCACATACTTTAAAGTGCTTTCATGAGGATTAGCCTGCTCCACAGTAAATGTTAGAAAATTTTAGTGAGGAGGAGGGGGAAGAAGAGAAGGAAGAGGAAGAGGAAAAGAAGGAAGAAGAGAAGGAGGAAGAAGAGGAGGAGGAGGGCACTGACCATGACAGGGATAGTAACTCAGAGGCCTCCAGGGTTCTGTGAAAGTTTGTTATAAGTCAGAGCTACAAAATCTGGATTCCTCCAGAGGGAACATAGCAGATAGAGGAGCTGAACAGCAGTCAGCCTCCAGTAATGGTCACTTGAATGAGGGAGTCAGCCCCTGCCTGCATGTGGCCCATCAGAAGGGTCTGGGTGCATTCTGCTCCTGCATTCCCTCCATGCAGTCAGGCTCTGTTCTTCCTCGGGGCCTTGCCCTTTTCCCTTCACCCCTGCTTTCTCCTGCAATCCTAGCTCCCTGTTCGCCTGCCATCCACCCTCTCCTCTTTAGAGCTGCCACCTACCCAGCATCTGCCAACAGTATTTCTGCTTTAAAAACCCTTCCCTTCAGTGAGCAAGTGTTTGCAAAGCATACTGTGTACAGAGCACTACAAACATGACAGCCAGCACAGCAATACTATTTCTGTGTGGAGCTTCCAGTCTAAGAGGAAAAGCAGATGAGCAAGGGAAGAAGTTGATTATAAGGACAAGAAAAAGTGGCAAGCCAAGGAAG